AGGGAGGGGCGAAGAGGGAGGAAGCAGAAGAGGAGGCAAAGAGGGAGGAAGCAGAGGAGGAGGAGGAGCAGGAGGAGCAGGAGCAGGTAGAGAGGGAAGAGAAGGAGGAGGAGGAGGAGGAAGAGGAGGAAGGGAAGAAGGAAGAGGTAGACGAGCCAGAAAGGGGAGAAATGGAAGAGGAGGAAAAGAAGGAGGAGGCGGAAGAGGACGAGGAGGAGGCGGAGGAGGAGGCGGAGGAGGAGGAGGAGGAGGCGGAGGAGGAGAAGGAGGAGGAAGAGAGAGGTGAGAAGGCGAAGGACGGGAGGGAGGAGGCGGAGGAGAAGTTAGAGAAGGAAGAAGAGGAGGAGGAAAGGAAGAAGCCAGAAAGGGAAGAGGAGGAGGAAGAGGAAGGAAGGGAAGACAAGAGGGAGGTAGAGCGGCGCATGATGCTCACCGAGGCAACGCGAGAAGGAGGCGCCGAGGGGAGGGAGGAGGAGGGTGAGCGAGCGTGCATAGAGGAGGAAGGAGATGGGAGAATGCTGGGAGAAGAGGGGAAGGAAGCCAACGAAGGGCGGGGAGAGCGCGCGGACGAGGAAGAGGGCGAGGGAGAGGGAGAGAGAGAGGGAGAGGAAGAGGAAGGAGAGGCGGAGAAAGGGGAAGCACCTGCCTCCCCGTCCCTGATCGACCCAGAGGAGGATCCAGATCCTGTAGGTCTTTCCCAGCCATTGAGCCAGACGCAATACGCCGAGGTGATGAAGGGGAGGAGGGAGTCGAGGGATCCCCCCTTCCTTTCGCGCCATTTTATCCCTGTGGCGTCCCCCGCGATTCTAAGGAGGAACATGGAGGGCAGGGTGGAAGATGAGGAAGGAGGAGGAGCGAACGGCTCCCTTGAATTGGCTTCCACGGACAGGAAGGAGGCAGAAGAGCCATGATGCACGCAAAGGAGGGAAGAAGCAAGAGGCGCGGAGGGAGGGAAAGAAGGAAAGAGAAGGGAGAGAGAGGGCACGAAAGAGGAAGGGATGTAGAATGAGAGAAAAGACCCGCAACACGTCTTCACACGTGCTTGCCAGTGTGCTCGGGGACAAAGAGGAGCAAAGAGGGAGAGAGGGAGGGAGGGAGGGAGGGAGGGGCAGGAGGGGATCGAGAAAGGGTTCGGACGGCCCCTCCTTGTCAGACGCCGTACAATCCGTGGAGCCCTGTCCCATCCATAGCAGTTGGAAGAGAGAAGAGAGAGAACGATTCCGCATTGCCCTAGACTCAGGGGCCATTCAAGGAGATGCAGAAAAGGGAAGAGAAAGCAGAGCACGCGCATGGTTGAAGTTGCCAACGGTGTTTCATTTTTTCCTCTGTAGCCTGTTCTCTTGCAAAGCCTTCGCACCCTCAATACCCTCGGTCCACCCACACCCGATTCCGCATGCCCCCGCCCTCTTTCCCGCCCTCCTTCCCGCCCGCCTTCCCGCCCTGCCACCCGTCATTGATGAGCGCAGCCAAGGCCTCCATCCTTCGCGTCTCACTCTCCCCCACCCCGGCTGCCCCCGCGCGGTGGGGGGACATGACCAGCCCAC